GGAAGTTGAAGGTCTCCACATCCATCACGAGCATGAAGGCTTCTAGTGGGAGGCAGGGGAGATGCTGGGAGCTCAGACTCGCCTTCCTAGGGAAGAGGGAGAGTGCAGACCAACACCACAAAAGACAGCCAGGCAACACTGCTGAGGCTGTGGATTTGCCATACCACCAATCTGCAAGGCCTCGTAGTTCCTATCCAGCAGTGCTCGGCACCCGAGGGATACAAGCTGGAAAGTGCACACAGATTCATCGGGAGCTGGGACTATGGCAGAGGGCCCATGGGGAGAGCACTGAAGATCCTGGCAAGAAAATGGCTGACATGAAGGAACAGCAGCCAAGGCTGGTCAGGAGAAAATGTGAAGCCAGAAGAGGGATAGCAGAAGAACTAAAAGTAATAAAAGAAAAATGGGTACTGTGAGAATAAGGGAGAGAAAAGTCTGGAAAGACAGTAGATAAGATCGAATGGTAAAATAAAAAAACTTCACCATTGCAGAAGAGGTTCAACTGTGACTTGGGCAAGTGTGGGCACAGGAGCAGAGGGACTGACCTGAAAGGGGGTAAAGGTCCCTGTGGCGCAGGCACTTGAGGTACTAAGAGTTAGATGGACTGCCAGGTGGGCAAAGGAGTGTCCTAGGATGAGAACATGACCAGGGTGGGGGTAGGTGGGGGAGGGGAGGGAGCACAAGCAGATGAACAGTGTGAGCAGACACACACACACACACACACACACACACACACACGAAACCAACAGAATGGAAACAGCAGTGATGAGATGGTATCACCTTTCAAGAAGAGAGGATTGGGCACCCTGCCAGCACCCTGAGGGAGGGAGAAGTGGGCATGGCAGAGGGGACCAGGCCCACGGAGAGACAGAGCTCTGAAGAGAAGAAGGTGTATGTCTCCCGCAGAGAGGAGGGAACAAAGTATTAACTCTTGAAGAAGTTGCATCATTTGCTTTACCACAGGGAGGGCTACGAAGGCCATGGCAGAATAATCTGGGAGGGAGTGAGCCATGAGAAGTTAGGCAGGCCAAAGGTAGGGACTGACTAGGAATGACAACGAAGAAAGGATGGCACCCGTGGTGCACCCCCGAAGATGACCCCAAAGTAATGTCCATGGCCCAGGCCCAGAAGCTGCAGCTATGTTACCTGACACGGCACATAGTGCTCTGCAGGGGCAGTTAAGTGAAGGATGGTGAGACGTGGGATTGTCCTGGATTACTAGGGTGAGTGTAATGTCATCATGAGGGTCCTTATAAGAGGGAGACAGGAGAACCAAAGAGGGAAGAAACATGGTATGGCCTCACGAGCTAAGGATGAAGAAAGGCAAGGAAAGAGTTCCCCCAAGAGACTTCAGAAGGAATGAGGCCTTGGGACCCATTTTAGACTCTTAACTTCTGAACTTTGAGATAATAAATTGGTGCTGTTTTAAGCCACTAAATTGGTGCTAATATGTTATCACAGCAATAGGAAAGTAATACAGCACCCTAGCTATATGGAATTCAAATAAAAATTATATTACCAAACTATAAAAAAATATAAAGTCTAAAAGAGTTTTAAGTTTTGCATGATGACTTTCATTTCATTTGAAACACCAAACTATTCTAAAATGCAGAAAGGTCTCTATTTCCCAGGGGTCTAAACCCACATTTAGCCAGCCTTGCCAGCAATACCACGTTGGCTGGGGGTAGAGGAACCCCTGCCTGGAGACAAAAAACAGAGCTGGCCTTCAAGCCTGTGACTAAGGGCATCAAGGACATGCCATTTAGTGGGCTTCCTTGTCACCAGACAAGACAGTCTAGAGTGAGGGCAGGCAGTGTTCCCTCACATCAGAGACCTGCCACGGTTGCAGGTGCGATGTGCCCACATAGCGCTGCAGCTGGTGCCCAGTGGAGATCTGGGTGCTGCTCCTGGCCAGATAACACAGGAGCTGGCATCCAGTCCCTCTGCTGCTCCTGTCTTGCCCCCAGCCCTCACTTCTGCCAATGTGACTTGGGCAGATGACAGCTGCCCACTAAGTACATGTCAAGAGGCCAGAGTGAACAGGCTGGGACAGCTTCATGCAGAGGAAGCATCTCGAGGGGGAACGTGGACCTCTGAGGTTCAGAGAGCAAGAAAAGATGCAAAAGCCTTCAAACTTGGAGAAAGACTGAGTGCAGTCAGGCAGGAGCCAGTGCATGGACCAGTCTGATAGGCATGGAAGAAGCTCTAGGTTCACACAATCTGCAGCTGGGGTAGAATGTGGAGGCTCCAGTCCCACATGCACATATTTGGACTCACTGTGTCTGGCAACAGGGTGAAAAGAATGCTTTAGGAAGGCACGGGTCATAGAGAGATGACTGGCAGGGAGAAATAAAAGAGAAAAGCTTTTAATACCAACCTCAAAATAAAACAAAACAAAAAAGAATTCTAAATCAACCCAAGATGGGCACATTTCACTGGTAATGGGGAGAAATGTTTTTAAATGTGCTATGTCAACAGAAGGTGTTTATATCCTTATATGCTCATTAACCCAGATGGTAAAAATAAATGACAGACTATAAGACATTTTACTTTGTCTTGTACAAAAAGAAACTTAAAATAAACCTTTAGATATGCAAACACCTTGTATGCCACTAAAATAAGCATACACTCCTTAAAATACATATATACATACATTTTCTTGGTAAAGCACACATCTGATTACAGAACTAATTGTGACTTGGGGGCCTTTGGAACATCTTCTAAAACGTAAATATTAGGACTGAAACTGTATTAAAAATAAAGCAGCACTTTGGGAGGTTGAAGAGAGAGGATTGCCTGAGTCCACGGGTTCAAGACCAGCCTGGGCAACATGGTGAGACCTCGTCTATACAATAAATCAAAATATTAGCTAGACGTGGTACCACGCATCTGTAGTTCCGACTACTTGGAAGGCTGAGGCGGAAGGATCACTGGAGCCTAGGAGGTCGACGCTGGGGTGGCTGTGACCGTGCCATTGCACTCCAGTCTAAGCGATGGAGTGAGACTCCAACTCAAAAAACAATGATAATAATAAAGCAACATGTTAATGTCTTAGCAATAGTTTTCTACTCAAGATATGCAAACTACTTTAAAATTTATTTTCAACACTTCAGGGTCAAAAGCTGAAGAGCTCCAACACAGAGGGCTGACCAAAACAATACTATTATAATATTTACACAGTAAATATGAGCATTGAACATGGATGAATATGATTATGAATATGAATATGAACAGTCAAGAGCACAATGTCAACATAAATTTGAGTTCAGTGTGATGCGCCTTCTTGGAAGGCTGGCATGAACCATCTGCCTTTTTTTATTATATTAAAACCTATTTCCAACTATAGACAGTGCTTATTTCATCCTAAAATTTAAATTCAAGTTAGAGTAACACTGTGATCTTGGACACAAGCAACTACTTCCATCATTCAGACAAATCAGACATAATAATTGGTGAGCTTAATTCTTCTCCTTTTCAGGGTCAGATGAGGTCCCATCTCACACATGGAATACTTGGTAAATTCGTTACTTGTACTTTCCACTAGCAATTAATGTACCCCTCACATTATTATTGTGCTATTATGGGCATATATTATATCCCAACTAGGTGGCAAGATTCAAAGAAACTGTGTCGTATAGGCCTTAGTGCTTGGGTCAGTGTTACAAGGCACTTGCACACAAAAAGCCTTAAAAATGTGAGCAGCTTGAGTGTTGGATTGTGAGTGGAGTGAAAGGCAGATCAACATGGCAGAGGCTGATCTGTTTTCTCCTGCACGAATGCTTTGCTGTAACCTTCAGCAGTAGCAAACATTAAAGTTCAAAAGCTTGAAGAAGTCCTATTTACCAGTCAAGGAATCCTCAAAGTGTATCTCCTGATCACTGGCTGTCTCCACTCAGCAAAAAGTCCCTCACAAGGGAACCCACTCCTGTCTTCATGTGCCACAACATTGTCTTTCTCTCACTTGGTGCTTGCCAGCACCTCTTCTGTCATATCTCTATAAAGTCAAGGGAAGAAGACTATGTGACCTGTAGCCTATCACGACACAGTTCCAAATACTGCCATGAGGATTTATTTGCCCCATGGTCATTTTGTTCTTGTTGTTGTTGTTAACACAAACATGAGGTCGTGAGGGAAATTCTGAGAAAGAAATTCTCAGTTCTGCAAGTGTTTTTTACACTGGTTGATAGACCTTAAAGGATCTAAATGAGAAACTCTGAGAATAACGTTAATACACCAGCTTGCTGGAGTGAAGGGGCCATGCAGGAGCTGGACAGAAAATCTAACACTTTGCAGCCGTCAGCCAAAATTTAATTTGCCTTGCTCTGCAAATTAGCCCACACTTCACCTCTAGCACTCAAATATCTGACACATTTCCTAAGACCCTGATATGAGGACACAGTACAAACCTGATTTCTAAACACGACCATCAAGTCACAAACCTCACCTGTGTCCTTTGCCTGAAGCTCACATCCTAAACCTGACCGTGGTACCTGACGCCAGATGCCGGACCGTGGTACCTGACGCCAGATGAAAAGTTTTAGCTTATTGCTGCAGGCTAAGATGCAAAATAATGATGCAAATCTGATGAAATTTTTCAAGTAAATTCACTCTGAAACACTGAAAACTCAGACCAGGAAGAAGTGAAAGGCAATTCAAAGATTGATTGCCACGAGTAAAGATGATCTCCTGTAGCCACAAACCCTGGTGCTAGGAGTCTAGTCCTCCAACAACCCAAGGATACAGGTAGGGTAATTTTCCTACTTTACAAATGAGGAGACTGAGGTTGAATGTCTTGCCCAAGGTCACAGAGCTGGCAGGTGGCTGCACTGGGCTACAGCCCACATTCTGAAACACTAAGACTTTGATTAGCTTTCCTGAGTCCTTTGCCAGCAGAGCCCAGAAATTCAAATAAGCTGGTGGGCTATCTAGCAAATGATTTTATTTTAACTAATCTCTTAAGTTTGATTCCTTGTACAACTGTAAGTCCGTCAGTGACTGACCTTAGAAAACAGTTCAACAGGGGCTGCGACAGCCTTCTGTTCTTTCAGGTACTGCTCCCAAGACCAGGCTTCCTGTGCAGCCACTGAAGGGACTGGAAGAGAAAACAAAATGGCTTTTCTTGAAACAATTAGAGACAGAAAAAAATAAAATTTAATTGAAAATAAACTCAAGAAGCAGGCTAATATAATTAAATTCACACGACCCAGCATTTCCTGTTTGATACATGTTTATGAATACATTCCACCCTCAACAAGATGTCTGATGAACTCTTAAATTACCCTCAAAAGCCCAGGTGCAGTGGCCAATGCCTGTAATCCTGGCACTTTGGGAGACCGAGGTGGGAGGATTGCTTGCACCCAGGAGTTCAAGACCAGTACGGGCAACACAGCAAGGTCCCATCTCTACAATAAGTCAAAAAACGTGTCAGGTGTGGTGGTGCATGCCTATAGTCCCACTACTCAAGAGGCTGAGGCAAAAGGATCTTCTGAGCCCAGAGGTCAAGGCTGTGGTGAGTTGTGATTGTGTCACTCGATTCCAGCCCTGGCAACAGAGTAAGACCATGATTCAAAAGCAAACAAAACAACAAGAAGAAAAAACACTCTCAAAGAGGGTGAAGAGAAACAGGGGAATAGGTTTTCTGAAAATTGATTTAGTTCATTTTAAGATGAATAACCTAGGATTTTTTTATGGTGTCCTTTTACTTTCCATGACTCTTTTTGGTATGAGTGTCAATTGGTATGACCTGTTGAAAGGCCATGTAGCAACATTCGTCAAAAGCCTTAAAAATTATTGTTTGAACCAGCAATTCTCCTTCACACTCAGAGTAGAGACGCCTAAGGGACAAAACACAAGTGTTTTTTCATAGAACTCTACATAATAATGAAACACTGGAAACAAACAGAAGGTCTGCCAAGGGGAAATTAATCAACTGCCTGACACAGACGTGGCATTTTAATAATAAAACTGCACTATAGAAGACTGTTAATGGCAGAGAAGGACCACATAGTGATATACTACTAAGTAGGGAAAAAAGTAGTTTAGGAAACAAATTGATCCCCTTTTTGGTAAATATGTAATGAATTTTAAAAGACTAAAATTATGGAAATGAAAATTTTTAAAGACATCATCTTTTAGTGACGGAATTATAATTTCTTTCTGATTTTCTTTATGCTTCGGTTTTCTGCATTCCACATTTTTTAGATGAATAATAGATAATCTTTGTAATTCAATAAAAATACTATTTTTAGACAAAAAACTGGCAAAAGCAATTAATAATTGTTTTAAATTTACATTCTACCCCACAGTACTTCCTCCTCCAGGATTACACACTAAGGAAGTAGTCAAACACTAATAATAAAATTCATGGTAAAGCCGGGCTCAGTGGCTCAGCCTGTAATCCCGCGCCTTTGGGAGGCTGAGGTGAGTGGATTGCCTGAGCCCGTGGGTTCGAGACCCGCCTGGGCAGCGAGACCTCATCTCTACAATAAATCAAAAAATCAGCTGGGTGTGGTAGTGCATGCCTGTAATTCCAACTACTTGGAAGGCTGAGGCGGAAGGATCGCCGGAGCCCAGCAGGTCGAGGCTGCGGTGGCCGGAAGCGGCCACTGCACTCCAGTCTGGGCGACAGAGTGAGACTCCAACTCAAAAAAAAAATAAAAATAAAAAAAATAAAAATAAAATTCATGGTAAAAACGTACATCACAACATAACAGCAAAAAATTCTCAAAGTAGTATTAATATGAAAGGAAGGTTTAATAAAACTATGACATATATACACATATATAACTACGAGGTTATTGAAAACTATTTTATAATTTTTTGCATATTTAATATAATATCTTGAGAATTATCTGGGTTAAGTAAAAAACTAAGGAAGGATACAAAACAGTATCTATAAAATCATAAGTAATTTAGAAAACAAACTGATCCTTTTTGGTAAATATGTAATGAATTTTTAAAAGATCAACATTTTGGAAATCAAAATCCTAAATGAAGTCACAAAACAGTACATATCAGCTTACAGACATTGTTTTGTGTCCTTACTTTCACTAAGTGAAATAAGTCAGGCAGAAAAAGAAAATACTACATGATCTCTCATATGTGCACTCAAAAAAAGCTGAACTCACAGAAGTAGCCCAAAGAAAGGTGGCTACAGAGGTTGGGGGAGTGAGGAATAGGGGAGGAGGGGCTGCTGTTCAAAGGATACAGAGTTTCAATTAAATAGGAGGAATACCTTCGTTTTAGAGATCTATTGCATAGCATGGTGATTGGTTAATAATAATGAATTATATATTTCAAAATTGCTAAAAGGATAGATTTTTAAATGATCTCACCACAAAAAATGATAAGCATGTGAGGTGATACATATGCTAATTTGCTTCATTTAATCATTCTACAATGTAGACACATATCCAAACATCACATTGACCCAAACATCACATCACAGTGGGATAAAGATATACCATTATTATTTGTCAATTAGAAATAAAATGAGAACATACATATAGATACAAATTATTATACATATTAAAACATTCATTTATTCCCATATTTATAAAGCACCTTTTGTGTGCCAGGTACTATGCAGGTATGTGTGCCCAGGCATACAAAATATGTGCGTGTAGAAAAGCTATTGGAAAGGAACAGGAAAAATATTACCAGCCCTATATGTGAATAGCAAGATTGACGTAAATATTATTTCCTCATTTATTACTGTCTACATTTTTTAAGTTCTCTACAAGTATTATTACTTAGCCATACATCCCCCCCACACACACATATCCTTGGAGAATACTGGTCAGGAAGTGCTTTCTGAGCATTAATTTTAAATGTATCTTGCTGGCTGTGAATGTTCCAGAAAAAAGTAGATGGTAAAAGGTCAGAACTGCATCAGCAGTGGTGATGACAGGTGGTAAGATCCACCTCTCAAACATTTGAAACCTCTCGAGGCAATAAAGCAACATGATGGAATAACAAACACAAAATCCATCAAGTTGTACAGGAATAATTCATGTAGACTTTTAATTATCTACAAAAAAAATTTCTGAGCCCTTGTTAATGTGCCAACAAATGTCCTGCCCACTGGAATAAGTATGTAGCTATGGCCCAGTAGATGAAAAGTGAGTAACAGACATTATTTTTCCTTTGGCCTCCATATATATCATTGACAACAAAAGGGAATAATTTCAACTCAGGTAATGAAGAAAAACACCTTATCATTTTACAGCTAAAAAAATAGACACACAAAAAGCATGGGCATTAACATTCATTATCCATCACAACATTAACTTGTTATTGCTAAAAATACACTTGCTAATGTATGAAAATTTTTAAAAGCATTTAAATCATCAAATATGACTAAAGGAATTGTCATCAATGAATATTCTTGTTTTGTTTGAAAATACTGAGACATCATAGAGTGATTTCCATCAAGGAGCCTAAGCTCCACTGGCCCATTACAGCGCTTCAATGTCTGCACCATTTCTGCCACAACATGAGATATTTTATTTTGTTAAACAGTAAGAAATATGACAAATCCTGAAGTATCCTGATGTATTACAGGTATGTGCTTTACAAAAAACGTTATAACAGTGTTGGCTCTAAAGCAAATACAGATATCTCATTTTCGACAACAGCTGTGTTCCTAAAAAGACTGCATGTAATTTCTCAATTTAATCGTATTTCCGATTGTGATATATTATCATTTCACCAAAAGTAAATTATATCTAAGACCTTCTTTCATGATCACATACGTATGCAAAGAACCTTTTAAAATTTATCCAAAAACAAAATACATAATATCAAAGAATAAAAACTTACAATGAATTAAGTATTTTGAGGAAGAAGAGAATCACTCAACAATATGGCACCTGTGAGGAGCGGCACCTCAGAACACTTCCCTGGTCACTGAACTCCAAACGGATTCTATCACCCCTCTCTGTCTCTCATTACATTGTTTTATTATTTTTCACAGGAATTACGTTAGCTGAATTTAACCAGTTTGCTTATTTTGAATTAGAATGTAAGTTTCCAATTAAAAAAGGAAACTTCTTGGTCTTGTTCGTCATTGTATCTCTGGAGACATAATTACACCTGGCCATAAATATTTATTTAATGACTTTTAAAAAAAAGGAAGACATACAGAATATATTTTTGGTCTTAAAAATGAATTCAAAGCTATCTATTTTGACCAGCTCATTTCTCAGTTTCCTGGAGAGAAGGAACCAATTATGAGACAACACTGCTTCAGGCAATGAACTTATTTTATTTTTTATGTAGCCTTCTTAGACATGCTACAGCTATCACATTCATTTTATAGAATATTAGATATACATACAGTTTTGTAAACCTTAAATTCCATTTCTTTTCACCAGACCACTGGCTATAGCAAAATGTTCCAGATATTACTCTTCTGCCAAACATTATATAATATACAAAATACATTTAATTGTATATTATCTTTCACTTAACATACACCTATTTTATATACCAAGTCCTGATTAGGTGGTTGTGGTGTATGTGTATGTGTATAGGTGAGCACATATGTGTGAATATATACATTTCCACTTTTTACAACATGGAATATTAGATTAATAACTATGTTATGATTCAAAAAACTGAAGCTCACAGAGACCACATAGCTCACACAGTAGGAAGAGTCTGGATTTAAACTACATTCCTAGCCCGGGCACTCCCATTATACAATAGTGACTCACTTCAGCACACAGGCAAGATATAACAGAAATGTCAATTAATTAATAACTTTTAAATTTAAAATGACCATAAAAATAAATCCTTAGGGAAATTAATAAGCTCGCTCATAATGATGGCCTTATAAGTATAATAAAACATGTTAACAATATATATTTATTTCCAAAAATTAAGCTGTATTTATTGATCTATTCACTCCAACTTTAATTTTACCCTAAAAAATTTCAAAACAGGATAAATGAAGCCCTTACAACAGTACAAAGCTGCAAAAGAAATCTAAATATCCACCAATAGAAGCCAAATAAATTATGTGGTTATGAGCACATATTACTTTGCAAATATTAATTAAGCACAGTTATAACACAGTTTATATGTTCATAT